ACTCACAAGCTAAACATTCATAAGGACTCAATTCTAAGTGCAGCGCGTCAAATCTGCTCCTTACCAGCCTCTGAGTTATTATTCAGGAATTAAATTAAAAAATTGAAACCCCAGCTTTTAGGCTCCGTCTCTAACAGCAGCCATTCAGCCGATCTCTCCTGAAAACTTTCAAAAAATTAACCACTTCAATTGATAACCGACTTTGCAACAACTTACTACTCTCAACTGCTTATAAAGCAATTACTTAAATGCTTTCTTCTCTGAAAATTAAAAGGATCAATTTCTACTGTAATCATTTAAAAAACTCAACACTGCATTATAAAAAATTTACTTTTCCATGGATGTACTTAAGACTTATTATTTCCGATTTTGATATCTAAAACTATGATTCTTTAAAAGATTTCGCTCTTTTCCTTGCAGTAAAAAAAAAATTATGCTCAGTCTATTTCTAAAGTGGAATGGATAATTAAAAGGTTGTTGTACTGTTTTTCTCCTACAGTTAATGTGATTAAAAGGGAAGTGATATATTTCTAAAGCCATAAGGCATTGAGAAATACAGCGGACCACTTCCGGTAATGGAAAAAGATAACTATGTCTGCACTAGACCCGACCTAATCAACAAAAAATATTGGCAATGAACCACGGGCCATCCAGCTAAGAAATGCACCATTACTAACAAGGCCTCAAGCAGTAAAATTAACATCTGAACTGAATACTCTCCCATGAAATAACATAATTATCAAATCGAATTGACTATGCCACAAGAAAAGGATAGCCGAAACTCCCTAAATTGACGCTACTGAAATGGATCAACCAACTCACAAACGCCCACGGTAATTCCTCCAATCAAACTAAGAAAATCCATAACTTCTAGCATCCGCAATAAAACTCAAGAAAACTGCCAGCCTATCAATTCAAACCTCAAAAAACAAAAACTCACTGGCAGCTCAACATGGACAGAGTCAGTTGCCAGCATCCATACTTCTGAGTCTGCATTCTCAAATAATAAAATCATTGAGTTCAGTCATACCAGGTGCCATCTATCTTAATGCAAGCCACATGTTCCGTATTCCGCCAATTCCAATGGCATTCACGCATATTCGCGCCAACTTTCCCTTCCAGTTCCAACCGTAATTTGCTAGCAATCCGCTGATTTTTCAAACATGTTATTTAAGCATCATCTAAAGCTTCAAATCCAAATCGCAGCATTCAAGTTACCAGGCAAAATAGTTCACGTTCAAGTTTTCAAGTTTTAGAACAGCTGTAAAAAAGGCCGAGATCAGCAAAATTTGCTAGGTTGAGTTTAGTTAGAAAGTACTAAAGAGCCTTCAGGATCACCTCCGAAACTTTTCTAGGGAGTTCTTAAGCTAAAATTCAAATTTTCAGGATTTGCCTTTAATTCCTCTCGTGAATTTATTCTCAAGAATTAATTAAATTAAAAAATTCACATTTGAAATGCCTCCTTCATATCATTTAACCGAGAATTAAACTTGTAACCCTCAATTGACTAAAATTAAAATGGCCTGCTCATTAACCAATCTAATAATCTCTTCAATAGCTTTAAAGAACTCCTCAATTTCAGTTCATTGGAACTACATCGTTCTAATTTAACATGCTCTTTCCTGAGATTAAAACCAAAGGCTTTAGTCATATTAATTCTTCCCTAAGTGATTGAATGGTTAATTGAAAGTTTGTCCTTTCCTTCAGACATTGAATTATTTGGGAAAATTGGGCTATGATTTCAAGCCTAAGCATGGAATGATATAACGGTGCTAATTTCACAATGGGACATAGAATGTGAATGACGTGTCATATAAAGATTTCCGTATGAGCCCAGTGGATCTGAAAGAATCCTATGGAGCCGAAACGACCCCAAGTGCGGCCAGAATTCTACCCGAACCACAATGCAGCAAAATGTACCACTACAACGGGACCCATAAAGCTATTTCACTGGAATCACATTGTTTATCCATTTCCTTCTGAAAAGAAAATGGCTTTAACTGCTACAAAAGAGTATTGCAAACGCCAATTGCCCAGCTCAGCAGAAAAGAATGGAATGACCTCCTCGGATTGAAAGACCGGAAACATACGCGGATTACCTTCAAGAAGCAAGGCTATGCAATATTTCCACAACCATGGATTTCCAAATTCTTTCCAATGCAAATCATGTCCATCAATCAACCCATGGAATTCAGATACAGAACTTCATCAAATCAGCAAGGACTTAAGATTACAACTACGACCTTCACAGCTATTAACTGGAGCGCCATCTACAAAATAACAACAAGCTCAATCATAATTACAGATGGCATTCAGAATTACGAAGCCCTCATTGCAAATGTCTACATGTCCAAGATTTCCATTAGTGCCAATCCCGGATGCCTTCATCTTCACGAGCTGCTTTTATTCTCAAACAATCTATTCAATTCAATAGGCTTTTCACTTCGCATTCTCCACAATATACCCTCACTTTCAAACTCATTTCATTACTCATCATCTCTTAGAAACAGCTCATTTTAAATGAAATTCAAGAACTTATGAAAAGCCTCATTCTCAGGAATTCCTTGACCAAATTTACAGATTTCATAGTTAAATTAAAGATGAAAATTGCGTACTGCCGACTTGCTAGGGGTTCTTGCAGTGAAAGAACTTTTCAGGTGCCTGCCTTCATGGATTGCGAAATTCTAAACGAAAATTCAAAAATCACAACTAATTGAAGTCATAGCTTTATTCTATTCAAACTTAACTCTTCAAGTACTCTTTACAAACGCTCTGACTATAAATGCACCCAATTAAACTTCACCCAAATTCAACTTCCTTAATTAACATTGATTAAAATTAATTCAGTTTACTGACTCTGAATGAAGTTGCATTAAATGTTCCTTCCTAGTATTTAAGCCGACCTTATTACTTAAACTTGGAGATAAATTCAAAAAGAGTGACATGATTTCCTCTGAATATTCACTGGAATATTGGGAAAATGTTCTGGTGAAATGTTGTGAACATTGTTTTATCCATTGTCCTTACTTGAAAGAAAGTGCAACTGCTGCTTGCTGGAAGTCCTTAGCTACAAATGGTATTTGTCCTGACAAACCGCGTCCCCACTTCCCCAGCTGAGACAAGAAAAAGGTAGCAGGGCTCACTGTGCAGGGAATTGAACCCATGGTTTCCAGAAAATGACAGGCAATGGGGATACTAGCCAACTATACTAACTCAGGAAGACTTGCACATGGACACTGTGCAGTTTACAGCATAAATCATGATTTTGGGAAAATTCAGTCCCACTGCCTGGTTAATTCCATGCCGAAATCCCAAGTAACCTTGCAGACAAAAAACTCAGCATAAAGGTAGACATGTGTATAAGGCAACTCCAGCGACATTCAGATCATATTTCAGAAATATGTTAAGGCAACATCCCTTGCTCCCCACTTTTAATTTCTGGAGAGCGCCATCTGAAAATATAAACAACGCAAGCCTGAGCGGCAGTCTCAGCTTGGAGCTAGTGGGCGCTATTGCATGAAATATCAACAGAAAGCTCACCATTGTCCAAGAGTGTTTTCTTTACCAATGTCGATTCAAATGCACCGATTAGCTACACTGTGTCATACACGGAGGAGTGACCTTTTTCATCTTACATGGTATGTACATTTTCTTCGCCAAGTTCTTCAAGATGTGCATTTGTGCCAGCTAGGCCTGGCTTTTTTCGCTGGCTTTTCCATAACACTCATTGCTTCCGCTTTCCATTCCTGCGCCACCATAAGCCTTCCGCCAAACACTGCGCTTACACCTCTTCATCTCAATTTCAGCAATGCAGCTGCATTTTTTCAAACAATGCTTCATGTACAAGGCGCAAAACATGTAATAAAGGGTTCAATACCTGAATTTACGCAAAGTTCAGGCCTTACCAGGCAAAATATCTTTGACCTCCTTTATCATAGTTTCTGCAAGTTTTATGAAAGCTGACGCGGTCAAAACAAATGGCCTGAGGATCATCCGCCGCTAGGGTTTTTTATGGGGAGGGTTCTGACTTCAGGTGAGAACAGCAGGCCTCTTTTCATGGGATTGCTGCCTCCCCACCACCTGTTCAGCGTGAAATTTATTCTCAGAAGATCCTATAAATTGAAAAGATTCAAAGACATTCTAGCCTTTTGACTGTCAGGCCTCTTTTCACTGCATCGCTCTAGCAAGCAGAATTAATACTGCTTTCACGCCGATGCCATTGACAAAATTAAAAATGGGCCATCGCATCTTCAAAATTATAACCCGGAGAATTCAAACAACTTCAGTCAACCTCAACTGACGCTTATAAAAGGAACTTCTTCAATTTCAAGTTTCAACTCGACTTATCTGGAAAGTCGTGGTTCCTTTAACATTCTCTCATCTCGGTAAGTATTTTGGCAGAACCTACCCATCGCCTTTGTATCTTCAAAACATTGACGACTGCTCTTCCCTTGAGATGTAACAAAGAGAGCAAAATGATTTTTGCTGCAGTTTTGATTATCCTCATGAAGAAGTTGGAACTGTGATTACATTGGGGAAAATGGTTGTTGGTTGCCTGTTTTTCTGTCCTACCCATTTAATTAGCTGATTAAAACTGGGAGGACTTTTATTAAATGGAGAAGAATATTGGATTGTACCGGGGAGATTACAACTGCAAGTATGGGACAAAGTTGGGGACATTGAGATGAATAAGCAATGTGCCTCCTGACTTTCACTGGGAGATGAATAGCAATGCACGTAAGTGATGCATTCATGTCATGCTGGTAGTCCCATTGGAGGCCCAGAAGAGTACAATTAAAAGAAACTGCATTGGCTTGAATGAACCCGGGCCTCCCGCTGGTGGCAGGCGAGAAATTCTACCACTGAACCACTAATGCACACAAAGAAGGACACTGACACACTGGGGACCCACAATCTGCTTCATTTCCACTGCGAAAATGAACATTGTTTTATCCATTGTCCTTACTTGAAAGAAAGTGCAACTGCTGCTTGCTGAAGCTAGCTACAAAAATGGTATTTGTCCTGGACAATTGGCGCCCACTTCCCCAGCTGAGACAAGAAAAAAGGTAGCAGGACTCCCCGTCAGAATTGAACCCCGGGCGCTGCGGACAATTGATACTAACGAGGAAGACTGCTGGGCTCACTGTGCAGTTTCCCCAGACTCACTGGTGGAAGTCTAGCAAGTGACACTATACTAACGCCAGGAAGACTTGCATAATGGGCTCACTGTGCAGTTTCCCAGCATAAATCATGATTTCCAGAAAATTCCTTGCCCAATGGTTAATTCCATGCCAAATCCAAGCAACCTTGCAGACAAAAAACTCAGCATAAAGGTAGACATGTGCTTACATACAACTACGCACATTCAGACGTTTTTGCTGGGCAACATCCCTTGCTCCCCACTACGAATTTCTGGAGAGCGTCATCTGAAAAATATAACAACGCAAGCCTGAGCGGCAGTCTCAGCGTTGAGCTAGTGGGCGCTATTGCATGAAATATCAACAGAAAGCTCACCATTGTCCAAGAGTGTTTTTACCAATGTCGCCATGCAAAATGCACCGATTAAAACGTCATACCCGGAGGAGTGACCTTTTCATCTTACATGGTATGTACCAGCGTTGTTCGCCAAGTTCACCGAAGATGCAGCTTTGTGCTTAAAAATGGGCCATCTGTCATACTGTATAACCCGAGAATTCAAACAACTTTCAGTCAACCTCAACTGACGCTATAAAAGGAACTTCTTCAATTTCAAGTTTCAACTCGGACTTATCTGGAAAGTCGTGTCCTTTAACATTCTCTCTCATCTCGTAAGTATTTTGGCAGAACCTACCCATCGCCTTTGTATCTTCAAAACATTGACGACTGCTCTTCCCCTTGAGATGTAACAAAGAGAGCAAAATGATTTTTGCCTCAGTTTTGATTATCCTCATGAAGAAGTTGGAACTGTGATTACATTGGGGAAAATGGTTGTTGGCTGCCTGTTTTTCTGTCCTACCCATTTAATTAGCTGATTAAAACTGGGAGGACTAATATTATTTACAAAGCCATAAGGGACATTGAGAGATGTATAAGCAGCTGCTGCCTCCTGACTTTCACTGGGAGATGAATAGCAATGTACGTAAGTGATGCATTCATGTCATGCTGGTAGTCCTGTTGCGGGGAGGCCCAGAAGAGTACACGAAAAAAGAAACTGCATTGGCGGGAATCGAACCGGGCCCTGCAGGCGAGAATGGCAGGCGAGAATTCTACCACTGAACCAGAACCTGTGGCAAAAAATTCTACCACTGAACCACCAATGCACACAAAAGAAGGACACTGACACACTGGGGACCCACAATCTGCTTCATTTCCACTGCGAAATGAACATTGTTTTATCCATTGTCCTTACTTGAAAGAAAGTGCAACTGCTGCTTGCTGAAGCTAGCTACAAAATGGTATTTGTCCTGACAATTGCGCCCACTTCCCCAGCTGAGACAAGAAAAAGGTAGCAGGACTCCCCGTCGGGGAAATTTGAACCCCGGTCTCCGCGTGACAGGCGGGGGGATACTAGCCACTATACTAACGAGGAAGACTTGCACATGGGCTCACTGTGCAGTTTCCCAGCATAAATCATGATTTCCAGAAAATTCCCCGTCCCAATGGTTAATTCCATGCCGAAATCCAAGCAACCTTGCAGAAAAAACTCAGCATAAAGGTAGACATGTGCTACATACAACTACGCACATTCAGACGTTTCAAGTTGGGCAACATCCCTTGCTCCCCACAGCTACGAATTTCTGGAAGCGTCATCTGAAAAATATAAACAACGCAAGCCTGAGCGGCAGTCTCAGCGTTGGAGCTAGTGGGCGCTATTGCATGAAATATCAACAGAAAGCTCACTCATTGTCCAAGAGTGTTTCTTTACCAATGTCGATGCCAAAATGCACCGATTAGCTGTACGTCATACCCGGAGGAGTGACCTTTCTCATCTTACATGGTATGTACCAGCGTTCTTCGCCAAGTTCACCGAAGATGTGCATTTGTGCCAGCTAGGCCTGGCTTTTTCGTTCGCTTTCCCATTCCTGCGGCCACCATGTTTCCGCCCTTACACTGTGCTTACAACACCTTCATCTCAATTTCAGCAATGCAGCTGCATTTTTTCTCAAACAATGCTTCATGTACAAGGCGCAAAACATGTAATAAAGGACTCACATACCTGTGATCCTTACGCAGTTCACAGTACCAGGCAAAATATCTTGACCCGTTTATCATAGTTTCTGCAAGTTTTATGAAAGCTGACGTGTGAAACAAATGGCCTGAGGATCATCCGCCGCTAGGGTTTTGCATGGGGAGGGTTCTGACTTCAGGTGAGAACAGCAGGCCTCTTTTCATGGGATTGCTGCCTCCTCGACCACCTGTTCAGCGTGAAATTTATTCTCAGAAGATCCTATCAAATTAAAAGATTGAAGACATTCTAGCCTTTTGGACTGTCCCTCACTTCGGCTACTGCATCTCTAGCAAGCAGAATTAATACTGCTTTCACGCTCGCTGCCATTGACTACAAATTAAAAATGGGCCATCGCTGTCATACTGTATAACCCGAGAATTCAAACAACTTCAGTCAACCTCAACTGACGCTATAAAAGGAACTTCTTCAATTTCAAGTTTCAACTCGGACTTATCTGGAAAGTCGTGTCCTTTAACATTCTCTCATCTCGGTAAGTATTTTGGCAGAACCTACCCATCGCCTTGTATCTTCAAAACATTGACGACTGCTCTTCCCCTTGAGATGTAACAAAGAGAGCAAAATGATTTTGCCTCAGTTTTGATTATCCTCATGAAGAAGTTGGAACTGTGATTACATTGGGGAAAATGGTTGTTGGCTGCCTGTTTTTCTGTCCTACCCATTTAATTAGCTGATTAAAACTGGGAGGACTAATATTTACAAAGCCATAAGGGACATTGAGAGATGTATAAGCAGCTGCTGCCTCCTGACTTTCACTGGGAGATGAATAGCAATGTACGTAAGTGATGCATTCATGTCATGCTGGTAGTCCTGTTATGGGAGGCCCAGAAGAGTACACCGAAAAAGAAACTGCATTGGCGGGGAATCGAACCCGGGCCTCCTGCGTGGCAGGCGAGAATTCTACCACTGAACCACCAATGCACACAAAGAAGGACACTGACACACTGGGGACCCACAATCTGCTTCATTTCCACTGCGAAATGAACATTGTTTTATCCATTGTCCTTACTTGAAAGAAAGTGCAACTGCTGCTTGCTGAAGCTAGCTACAAAATGGTATTTGTCCTGACAATTGCGCCCACTTCCCCAGCTGAGACAAGAAAAAGGTAGCAGGACTCCCCGTCGGGAATTGAACCCCGGTCTCCCCAGCGTGACAGGCGGGGATACTAGCCACTATACTAACGAGGAAGACTTGCACATGGGCTCACTGTGCAGTTTCCCAGCATAAATCATGATTTCCAGAAAATTCCCGTCCCAATGGTTAATTCCATGCCGAAATCCAAGCAACCTTGCAGACAAAAAACTCAGCATAAAGGTAGACATGTGCTACATACAACTACGCACATTCAGACGTTTCAAGCTGGGCAACATCCCTTGCTCCCACTACTAATTTCTGGAGCGCGTCATCTGAAAAATATAAACAACGCAAGCCTGAGCGGCAGTCTCAGCGTTGGAGCTAGTGGGCGCTATTGCATGAAATATCAACAGAAAGCTCACTCATTGTCCAAGAGTGTTTTTTTTACCAATGTCGATGCCAAAATGCACCGATTAGCTGTACGTCATACCCGGAGGAGTGACCTTTCTCATCTTACATGGTATGTACCAGCGTTGTTCGCCAAGTTCACCGAAGATGTGCATTTGTGCCAGCTAGGCCTGGCTTTTTCGTTCGCTTTCCCATTCCTGCGGCCACCATGTTTCCGCCCTTACACTGTGCTTACAACACCTTCATCTCAATTTCAGCAATGCAGCTGCATTTTTCTCAAACAATGCTTCATGTACAAGGCGCAAAACATGTAATAAAGGACTCAATACCTGAATCCTTACGCAGTTCACAGTACCAGGCAAAATATCTTGACCCGTTTATCATAGTTTCTGCAAGTTTTATGAAAGCTGACGTGTGAAACAAATGGCCTGAGGATCATCCGCCGCTAGGGTTTTGCATGGGGAGGGTTCTGACTTCAGGTGAGAACAGCAGGCCTCTTTTCATGGGATTGCTGCCTCCTCGACCACCTGTTCAGCGTGAAATTTATTCTCAGAAGATCCTATCAAATTAAAAGATTGAAGACATTCTAGCCTTTTGGACTGTCCCTCACTTCGGCTACTGCATCTCTAGCAAGCAGAATTAATACTGCTTTCACGCTCGCTGCCATTGACTACAAATTAAAAATGGGCCATCGCTGTCATACTGTATAACCCGAGAATTCAAACAACTTCAGTCAACCTCAACTGACGCTATAAAAGGAACTTCTTCAATTTCAAGTTTCAACTCGGACTTATCTGGAAAGTCGTGTCCTTTAACATTCTCTCATCTCGGTAAGTATTTTGGCAGAACCTACCCATCGCCTTTGTATCTTCAAAACATTGACGACTGCTCTTCCCTTGAGATGTAACAAAGAGAGCAAAATGATTTTGCCTCAGTTTTGATTATCCTCATGAAGAAGTTGGAACTGTGATTACATTGGGGAAAATGGTTGTTGGCTGCCTGTTTTTTTCTGTCCTACCCATTTAATTAGCTGATTAAAACTGGGAGGACTAATATTTACAAAGCCATAAGGGACATTGAGAGATGTATAAGCAGCTGCTGCCTCCTGACTTTCACTGGGAGATGAATAGCAATGTACGTAAGTGATGCATTCATGTCATGCTGGTAGTCCTGTTGCGGGAGGCCCAGAAGAGTACACGAAAAAGAAACTGCATTGGCGGGAATCGAACCGGGCCCCCAGCGTGGCAGGCGAGAATTCTACCACTGAACCACCAATGCACACAAAGAAGGACACTGACACACTGGGGACCCACAATCTGCTTCATTTCCACTGCGAAATGAACATTGTTTTATCCATTGTCCTTACTTGAAAGAAAGTGCAACTGCTGCTTGCTGAAGCTAGCTACAAAATGGTATTTGTCCTGACAATTGCGCCCACTTCCCCAGCTGAGACAAGAAAAAGGTAGCAGGACTCCCCGTCGGGGAATTGAACCCCGGTCTCCCGCGTGACAGGCGGGGATACTAGCCACTATACTAACGAGGAAGACTTGCACATGGGCTCACTGTGCAGTTTCCCAGCATAAATCATGATTTCCAGAAAATTCCCCGTCCCAATGGTTAATTCCATGCCGAAATCCAAGCAACCTTGCAGACAAAAAACTCAGCATAAAGGTAGACATGTGCTACATACAACTACGCACATTCAGACGTTTCAAGCTGGGCAACATCCCTTGCTCCCCACTACGAATTTCTGGAGAGCGTCATCTGAAAAATATAAACAACGCAAGCCTGAGCGGCAGTCTCAGCGTTGGAGCTAGTGGGCGCTATTGCATGAAATATCAACAGAAAGCTCACTCATTGTCCAAGAGTGTTTCTTTACCAATGTCGATGCCAAAATGCACCGATTAGCTGTACGTCATACCCCGGAGGAGTGACCTTTCTCATCTTACATGGTATGTACCAGCGTTGTTCGCCAAGTTCACCGAAGATGTGCATTTGTGCCAGCTAGGCCTGGCTTTTTTCGTTCGCTTTCCCATTCCTGCGGCCACCATGTTTCGCCCTTACACTGTGCTTACAACACCTTCATCTCAATTTCAGCAATGCAGCTGCATTTTTTCTCAAACAATGCTTCATGTACAAGGCGCAAAACATGTAATAAAGGACTCAATACCTGAATCCTTACGCAGTTCACAGTACCAGGCAAAATATCTTGACCCGTTTATCATAGTTTCTGCAAGTTTTATGAAAGCTGACGTGTGAAACAAATGGCCTGAGGATCATCCGCCGCTAGGGTTTTGCATGGGGAGGGTTCTGACTTCAGGTGAGAACAGCAGGCCTCTTTTCATGGGATTGCTGCCTCCTCGACCACCTGTTCAGCGTGAAATTTATTCTCAGAAGATCCTATCAAATTAAAAAGATTGAAGACATTCTAGCCTTTTGGACTGTCCCTCACTTCGGCTACTGCATCTCTAGCAAGCAGAATTAATACTGCTTTCACGCTCGCTGCCATTGACTACAAATTAAAAATGGGCCATCGCTGTCATACTGTATAACCCGAGAATTCAAACAACTTCAGTCAACCTCAACTGACGCTATAAAAGGAACTTCTTCAATTTCAAGTTTCAACTCGGACTTATCTGGAAAGTCGTGTCCTTTAACATTCTCTCATCTCGGTAAGTATTTTGGCAGAACCTACCCATCGCCTTGTATCTTCAAAACATTGACGACTGCTCTTCCCCTTGAGATGTAACAAAGAGAGCAAAATGATTTTGCCTCAGTTTTGATTATCCTCATGAAGAAGTTGGAACTGTGATTACATTGGGGAAAATGGTTGTTGGCTGCCTGTTTTTCTGTCCTACCCA